TAAGCATCAAGCGATGTGGTTTAAATGTGAAAAATAATGTAATACTACACTCGCATATTATGGCTGCGTTCCGAAATTCACTGCCAGTACTGAAATTTTATAATATACGTAACATGAACTATAAATTTTCAGTACTGGCAGTGCATTTCGGAACGCAGCCTATGTACAAAGTGAGTAGAATTTCTTATAGTGACTTTAATTTTTATGGTTATACGACAATTGGTATTTGACATAAGAATCCTACGTCCATTAAAAATAAATAACGAAAGCCAATTGAAGCGTGATGACGTATAGGCAGTGAAAGCATACTGACGAAGTTTGCAAAGTTAAAATACGTATGCATCAGAAAGTTAAAGTGTAATATATTATAAATTGTATGCAGTAAGTAAAATGTAAGTTTGTTTTATGTATTTATTGCATGTATTTATTATGTTTTATTTTATATGAAATATATATTTTCTGCAGATTTATAATTTTAATATGAATAGAATATTTTATCTTTTAATAATTTATCCTAAAGTAATCTCAGACAAGCAGACTTCCAAGGGATGTTCTAAAGACATCACTATGTCTTAAAAGGGTGTATATCAGTTGGACACGGGGCAATTGGACACAGTCCAATCACAAGTCGCTGTTCCAAGGGACCCTACAAATGTCTCTAATCACACGGTGCTGTGATTGGCTGTGTTAAAATGCACCGTGTCCAAGTGCACCGCTCCCGTCTTAAAAACATGCTGAAAAAATTCTAAAGATGTCCATTGCAAATTGGTGTTGTCTTGAGTATATTGTAATATTTGTTTTACTTACAAATTCACGTTAAATCTTTCATTTTTCACGAGTTTAGTGAAGATTTTCATCTTTCACGAGTTCATTACAAAAATTTCAATTTTCACGAGTTCACACTAGGGGAAAAGATTCATGATCGCTACCCAGTTCTTTGTTAAAGAAAGTGGCGGCTCGTAGCGGAAACTTCGGAATTAATTTAAAGAAATAACGGGTCCAAGGAGTACATTAGACCCGTTTTTTCTGTAAGTTAGTTCTAAAGTTTTCGCTACGAGCCGCCACTTCCTTAATAAAGAACTGAAATAGTGATGGCTATAAACAGCATCTAGCTAACACCTATATCGACTAATATACTTAAAGAAATCCGACGGGAGTAAAAAAAATTGCATGCATTTAATACGTCGTTGACGGACAATCTCCGTATTATTTTAGTATTTGCTCACGAAGGAATGACTACTTTGATATTTGGAATTGGCATAGGATTATTTATCATTCTCAGCCTGTGGATATTAGCCCTGTTGATATTTTTGATATCTTTGCGTATCGAGAGAAAAGTTGGTGTGATTGCTATACTGCTGGTGAGCGTGCTCACGATTATTTTGATTAGTGTACCGCGCGCATCAGAGAAGCCTGTCACTACGAACAGTAAGGTGTGTAAATCTTACGATTACGGTCAATCGAACGATGACATAAATTCTAATTATAACTTAGTGTTCAAGTGAAATACGATTTACCTGGTTCGATTACTTTACACGTTTTGTTGAAAAAATATATGTTTTATAATACAATTAACACATTAGATTTACACAAATAAAAATAGTGTAACATTGTGTAAAAAATTAGTTACATTTTAGAAACTTTGTATCTGTACACATTATTCACATATTACACATTTACACATATATTACACATAAATGTGTACTAAGTTTAACTTATATACTGCACATATAATAAACTAACAGATATAAATATTTTTGCAGGCATATGATCGACTTTTCATCTGGCGTGTAATACTTCTTATTTTATTACTCATTTCATCTATAATTGGCCTTACGGGATATATCAAGTTTGGGTTGGTGGAATCTATTAGATCAGTCAGGATATCTAGCTGGGTTTACTAGATTTTCTCTGGTATGTTTTGTATTTGATAATTTAATGCAAAAACTTTCTATTATGATAAAATAAAGATTCATATGATTCTTATATCATATATTAAAACATATCTAAGAACTATTTATATATAATAAAAAATTATGTTTAATTATGTAAGCAGCCTAATTTTCTTTTTTATAGGTTCTTTTATTAAACAGTACATATGAGGTTCAATGTTTACTGATGTAATTAATTTAGATGAAACATCAGTCTCTTTTTACATTGCTATTGATGTCCTGACTATACTGCAAATAATATTAAAAAAACAGCAGCAATGTTGTGCAGTATAAGAAATTGTATACCCTCTGTGGTAAGGCGTATCTCATTATTTCGTCCAAATAATAAAAGATACGAGATAAATAATAATAATGAATTTGTGAATAAGGTGATGAATGGCACAGTGCCAGTTATAGTCAATTTTCATGCAGAATGGTGTGATCCATGTAGAATATTGACACCTAAATTGATAGAACTCATAGAGCCTATGGAAAAGTTAGATTTAGCTATCATCAATGTAGAAGAGAATCCTGAATTAGTATACGTTTTTGAAGTAAAAGCTGTACCTGCAGTGATAGCGATCTCAAATGGCCTAATTGTAGATAAATTTATTGGTTTAGTTAACAATGAAATGATAGAGAATCTAATACAGAAGTTAACGCACGAAGGACCAATAGATACAGAAAGTGAGAACACAAAAGTGTAGTCATCACATACTCTATGCTTCAGTAGTATATTTTCATATTGATAGAAAAAAAGTATTATAACACCAGTTACTTCGTTAAAATAAGAATGATTTGACGCCTTTTTTATCTATCAATTTGTAGAGAAAATATGATATGACTTGAACTGCTTTGTCCAAACAAAAAATCCTTTCTTTTCTCTTAAGGCCTTCCATTTATCTAATCATAGTAAGATAAGCGTTGCTGGTCAACCTTCTCAATATATTTATATTCTACAATGATCACTTACAATATAATTGAATATATGTGCTAATATATGTGCTAATCTTCATAAATCTGATAAGTGTGTTATGTGATGTAATGAAAGATTTGTACTCTATTTAGAAACTATAATGTAAAATTTGTTCATCAGCCTATATTATTGAATCGACCAAAACGATTAGTACAATTGTAATTTTTCTTTAGGACTTTCAAAGATGTAACAATTTTACTACTATAAGATTTGTAAAATTGTACAAAGTAGTTGTGATATACATCTTTTTAGACATTTTTTATTATTTTTAATGCTGCTATCTTTACTTGATATTTATATAGTATATGTATAACTTTATTGAATCACTTTACGAATAAGTTCGGTAATGAACTATGTGCAAAGATAATAAATTTTGCGAATTGATTCGAATATAATTGCGTTCGTACATACGTATGTGGCGATATATATTCTTGAAATATATTTTATATATACATATGCATATTTCATTGATGTTAATTAATTTTATTTAAAAGATTTATAATAAAATGTGCACGATATCCTTAATTTGCGCAATGTTAAATTGTACCGAGTGCATATAATAATTTCAGTCAGTTATAACAGAGAGACTAGAGAGAATATAATTATTTTAGTATTAGATTTACTCGACGTAAACCGTGTATCTTCTGTAGCGACACAAGAGGCGAGATAAAACTAATTATCTAATCAGGTTTCACAGTTCTTCGTTTATTCTTAAATAATCGTAAAACAATTGTGTACAATCAGTGTATGAAAGTACTGTCCATTAAAGAGATAATAGTATAGGCCAGAGATATAATAAAGATTATTACTCCACGTAAACTCTCTGGTGAAAGAGCACCCCTGTGACTTTCGGCAGCAAGCAATACGTAAGTGTGTACCAATAATTAAAAGACTAGCTATAATCTTTTTCATCATCAGTCAGGTGTTTTTTTAAGACACCATGATAAGGCAATGCTGTGATTCCGTGGTCACTTGCAAAATAACTTTTCTCTCTTTTCTTTTCTCCTGCTTGCCAGATATATATATATATATATATATATATATCATTTCTTTATGGTGACAATATGGCGAACAAGCTACCAACGGATCTGACAATTTTTGCAAGCAACCCTGCGTTCCTTATTATTTAATAACTAGTATATATGTATATACATATATGTTCTCGCATTCGTTTATAACATTTACAGTGAAACAAGAGCCGAGTAGAAATTATTAGAACTTACGAATATTATATACAAAATTAGAAAAACAGAGAGAAATAGAAAAACTATTCGTAGTTTTCTTTTAAGAATAACAGTAATAGATACACTTCTTCTCTCGTCGTCCGATAAAACGCACGGCAATGCATTTGCACGTGATACTCGCAATCATATTTAACATCTGAGGACAATTCTCCTTTGTTGACTCAGATGCAAATGCATTTTCGAGCCACACTATGTCGCGTACAATTAACTAAGCAATGCCAACCGAATTCGAAGAAGCTTTTGTACATGCATAAACATGGAAATGAACAAGGGACAACGCTGTTTTTTCAATGAAAAGGATATGTTCTGTCGAGGCGACCTCCTGGCCTCGCGAGATTGCATGTTCTTCAAGTGGAATAAATTTTGGACGCTTGTGCAGTAGTATTGCGCGTATATTTACAACTTATTTATATTTCATTTAGCTTAAAAAAGAATCGTAAAAAAATGTAGAAAAACACGAATGATATTTTATATACAAACCAGTGTTGCACAGGAAAAATATATTAACGAATAATGAAGTACGCGACGATTTTGAATATATATATATTTTTTTGTAAATGTATATTCACGTATGCTAATGCATACTATTGCAGATTAGTGGAATCTGCATGATAAATCTGCATTTATAAACGCATATGTTCAAAGAAAATGTATCAGCGTATCATAAAATATTATTAACCCTTAGCTTTTCTAGGAAAATAAATGCTTATACTTAGATGAGGTTTTTGAAAGCCTCAATAAGGAATCAAACTTTGAATCTAGTTTTCAAGGGATTTTATTCATAAATATATTACTTTATACATATATGCCAACGTCCCATGCCAATCTCTATGTAACAAAATTATTTAAAAATAAATAACATGGAATTCCAGAAAACTTCCTTCGCCTCAGAGTAGTTAAGGGTTAGTGTAATACGATGTAAGATATTGTACATCGCCAGTAGCGACATTTGTAATTGCATATAAAAAATGTACGCTGATGCATTTACAAATATATATATATATATATATATATATATATATATATATATATACATATATATATATATACACATATATACATACATATTATATATATATATATACACACACATATACACATATATATACATACATACATACATACATACATATATATATATATATATATATATATATATATATATATATTCAAAATCGATATTCATCAATACATTTTGCCGAACACCGATATAAACTTTTATCGATGTCACTTGTTGTGTTGTGTTCACCTGTTGCAAATGACTTATATAGCAACAGCTTATCTAATTAGTTTTGTTTGTAATTTATATAATACATTATTATATACTCATAATTATATAGATTACAGCTCCACTAATCTGCAATTCGCTTCCTTTTTTTTATCAACCGCCAAAAATATATGCCACATTTATACGTTATAAATTAGTGGAAGAGGAACGCGCGCCCGAACACTTACATTTTCTCTTTTAATCGATACGATAAACAAGTTTAAATTCACTGGGCAACAAGTAACATCTGCTCCGTATACCGTTCAGTGAGCCAACATATATATGATCATATAATACATTAGTATAATACAACATGATACAATTCGGTTTGCATTGAATAACTTGGCAATCGACGTTTTGCCTTCTTATGCAACTCGCGAGAAATATAACAATATATTTTAGTTGGATGGTTACAAGGTGACAAAAAAAATATATATATTTATATGTGTATATATATTTTTTTTTCTCTCCCTCTCTTTTTGTCTATATAGATTCTACGACTCAATTCCGTCAACACGTTAGCACTTTGCGTAGAAGCCTACAAAGAATAAAGTATTAACGTTTTAATCAAGGTACAAAGAAACGTGATACTATAAATTCGGCAAGAATCATCCACTCAAGTTCCACAAAACTTCTAAGTACAACATCAACAAAAGATAAGAAGTAATCGAAAAAGTTTGCGATAACAACGCAATATCAAGATACGATACTGATTTAAACGAACTGAAAACATCGTAACTAGGCTAAGAATCTCACGTAATTCAACGTGTCGTCGATTCGAGCCGTCCTTTTATTTATGTCCTAATGGCGAGTATCGATTTCGTGTGGAAGTAAGAAACTAGTAGTTCAACATTGTCAATACGATAGATTACGGTTTACATTAAAGTAACGAATTTCGTTAAATGTTCTGCATTTGTAAGACTGAAATATCTCTCTTTCTTCTTCTTCATCTCGTTGACGCGTCGAGTATTATCATGAGTTCGCGGCTCGGAGAATAATTGTACGAAAGCCATCGTGAGCGTGCGTTATCGCGGCACTAGTCTTGATAATATTTCGCTAAACCTCCGCACCCAAGTCCCGCACACCTTGCTCGGCTATCGGCACATACTTGTCGTCTATCTTCACGAGTAGAATGACTTTGTCGACGTGTGACCGCCGATTTGGATCGCGATGATTCGGCGACCAACGGTGAACTATACAGCCTTCCATACCTCTTTCCGGCACCCAATGTTGCCAGCCAGAACGACCGCCTTGTTGTCTCATCCTTTCATCTGGCCAGATTACGTCTATACGCCGACCTAGATTGATCGCGTCGTACACTTGATTGGGATCTATAATCTGTTGGGAAGAAAACCAGCTCATCATAACTCGAACATAATACGATAAAGACGATTTTTTTATGTAATTTTGTAATGAGCCGAATTAAAATTGATTAAAATGATTACTAAGCTTCTATATTTAATTCATTACAATAAAAAAATAAACATTCACTTCTAAATAGCGAATAGAATCAATCGTGACATTTACGTAAACTCTCTGGAAAACCTCTTCTTTCTCCAGTTTACTGGAAAAGCTCGTCTCACTCTTTGTTTCCGTTTTGATGTCGCTATTACTAAGTAGTCCGGCCAGACTAGCGAGCGTGGAGCTAGTTGGTTTACCGACAGAAGCGAGCGAGCCTCTGTTACCACCAAGAGAGCCTGTGTTTGCACGACCAAGAGAACCGCGACCGGTCGAACCTCCGATTTGGCAACCGGATTCCATTGACTGTGAGCCAGAGGTATTGTGACCTGACTGAGCATAGCCTGCATATATAAAAAAGTATATATATTATAATATATAACATTTAATTGTATCGAATACCGCGTAACTAGATTTTTCAATTAATTTAGCTAATTAAATCTTTTAATGATTATATCAATCATATATCTAAAAAAGAGAACTGTAATTCTATAATCCACCTATACAGCTACTGTTAGTAAAAATTATCATGCATTATATATACTTAGTATTTTGTTTTTTTTTTTGTAATAAATGAAAAATTTTGGGTGTTAATCAATTGACATCGATAAATACCAGTATGTATGTTGTAAGTTGTCATCGCATATATTCCATCATTTCCAAAACCTCCGTCGTCTTGGGAACCGGTACCGCCCGAAGAGCAACCTTGACCGCATCTCCTCCTTATTCTAAACACGAACACATTGAATTGTCGTACGACACAAATTATCATATTGCCGCATAAAATTTCAATTTTGCATTCACGAGTATTGAATAATTCTCAAGAAAATAAAAAAATATATAATAAATATATATCGAATCAGAAATTGAAAAACGTGGGAAAAAAAATTTTAATTTTAAATTTTAAATTTTCATTTAAAACGTATACCTTCGCCACAATTTTAATGCGGTACTCTTTATGGTGCCGAAACTCAACGGTCCTCCGACTATCGAACACAATTGTTCGTTCGTCTCGGCGTAACTGGTCGTCAATGGGGAGACATAAATCGGGTATCCGATTGGCTGATCGCACGAACTGTTGATTATGTTTCTCAACGCCTGTTTGGCATTCTGTATCGAACCGCGTTCCGGATTTCTATTTCTCAGATACACTAACTCTTGCTGCTGACCGGCCCAAAGTCCGCGGACGCACTCGCGGTTCATTTTGATCACTCGAAAGCTGAGGAAACGCTTGTTAAGCATTATCACCTTATATTCATCTATACCGTCGTCTAACACGTGTCTGAAAATTTTTAAACGTTCATATAACTGTGTGAATACATTTGCTCGGGCAATTGGTTTGGCGAGTGATATTTTTCAAAAGTACGAATTTCCAAAGATACAAACCTAAGCGCCAACAGGCTGGGTGCACCGCTCAATACAGCATTTCTCCAAAGTGGATCCGCTTCGTGACTAATGACGAGATTCTTGTCGTGACTGTCGATTGCTTCGAAGAGCGCCGACGATTCCACGTATTGTTCCGGGCTCATAAAATGATCCTGGTGCAGTTTCAAGGCCATCCTCACACCTTTTGCGACTACGCTACGCAGTAAGTCGACATCGTGCAATACCCATTCGTCACGGACTGATGTTATACGAAAATCTCCTGTTATCGAATACAACTATATTAGTTTATATATCAATTATATATTACGTTAGATATATCAATAGTTTGAGACTATAATAAAAAAAAGTCATTTTATATAAAGATATTGTTTCAAAGATAGATAAATAGATAGATAAATAGATAGATAAATAGATAGATAGATAAATGTATAGTCATTATAGTTTTACCAAGAGCTAATTCGCTCTAAATTCAAAGAATATCCTGATTTAGAATGGTGACATACATCTACATACATTATATATTACATTGCTAAAAAATTATGAATGGTATTTAAATATAACATGTCTTATTATTATTTCTGAGCTATTTGCTGCTTATTTTCTAACAAAATATATTAGTAATTATTACTAGTACTATAGATAATTACTATAGGTATTATAATTATTATAATACTATAGGAAAGAGATTGAGGGAGAGGATATTAAATATTATATTAAATACCTTTGAACAGCGCATGTAGTCCATAAAGAAAAAATTCAACACTCGATACAGTGTTGTGAGATGCAGCACCTAACACACGTCTTCCCAATAGACTTAGGGCGAGACATAAAGATACGAGATACGAATCACGTGTTCTGTCCAGCGACTAGAGAAATATAAAGATACCACATAAAGTATATTTCGAGCGGATTATAATTTCTAAAAAATAAATCGTCATCTTAGTACTGTAATCGTCGCTGTAATATTTTAATCTTGTAGACACTACACATTTTTATTATAATTTGATCTTGTATAAAAAAATTTAGAATTTTTTTTTTACCATTAGATAAAAAAGACCATATCCTTAGTTATATAAACTAATATTAATAAATTAAATATATTATATAAACTAATGTTAATAAATAACTAATGTTAATAAATTAATGTTAATAAAATAAATTTGTTAGTTACAAATTAAGAAAAATTGCGGAAATTTAAATTATTTACTTATGGACTGACTTATGAATTTAAATTATTTACTTATGACTTGTGGACTGACAAATATGTCATATCTTTTATCAAATGCTCCGTAATTTGTTACTGTGTAGTAATAAGATGACGAAATAATGCAAATGTTATAATGTATCACCTTATCATGTTTACCAACGCAATATTGTATCCAGTCGAGGTAAACATTGCAGAAGCTGCTACGCGTAATTCCACTTGCGCGGAAATCGAAATCCTCATCGATGTTCATATTGAAAACGGGATCAAGATCGATGAAGTTTTTTTCGAGTGTCGGTTTCAGTGCGTCAGCAATGTCTGGATTCTCTAACCAGTGTTTTAGTTTGGGCGACTTCACAGTATAGAAAACAATACTCTTGACGTAATAAGTAACCAACACCTTGCGAAATTCGAACACCTGCAGCATGGAACCTGCCGAATTGTCGGAGATAGAGTAACCCTCGAGCACATACTTGGCGCTTGCTACTTCCCAAGCGAGCCAACGTTGACTAAAGGCTGCGTTCACGCTAAGTACATTCGACAGATGGCCCATTTCGCAGCAGCAGCAATTATCGTTATCCTCGATACCCTCAGAGATTGCTTCCACCTTAAAAAAATAAACGTAAGAGAAAAATGTAATGCCCTTAGCTAAATTATATTACATTTTGATACTCGTGAAATTAGATAAGTATATATATATATATAT